GCACTGCCGACAGGGAGATGCAGCGGGGGAGGGCGGCACGCCCGCTTGCCTTGAAGACGCACAGGACGACAAGGAACACGAAGCACGCGAACAGCTTTACGAGGGGTGGAGGGGAGGGCGCAAACCAGGAGCGCGAACCGGGCGGCGGGGGGGGGGGGCCGGATGGCGAGGGCGAGAGGTGGAGTTCTTGGAGAAGGAGGGAAGAGATGCGGGTCGAAGGACATCAACAAATTGCCCAGGCGAGCGGAGCCCAGCCCAGGCGAGCGGGGTCCAGCCCAGGCCAGCGGGGTCTAGCCCAGGCGAGCGGGGTCTAGCCCAGGCGAGCGGAGTCCAGCCCAGGCGAGCGGGGTCTAGCCCAGGCGAGCGGGGTCCAGCCCAGGCGAGCGGAGTCCAGCCCAGGCGAGCGGGGTCTAGCCCAGGCGAGCGGGGTCTAGCCCAGGCGAGCGGGATCTAGCCCAGGCGAGCGGGGTCTAGCCCAGCCCGGGGTCCAGCCCAGGCGAGCGGGGTCTAGCCCAGGCGAGCGGGGTCTAGCCCAGGCCGGAGTCCAGCGCAGCCCAGCCCAGGCGAGCGGGGTCCAGCCCAGTAGCCCAGGCGAGCGGAGCCCAGGCGGCAGGCGAGCCAGGCGAGCGGGGTCTCTAGTCCAGCCCAGGCGAGCGGGGAGCAGCCCAGGCGAGCGGGGTCTAGCCCAGGCAGCCGAGGCCCAGAGTCTAGCCCAGGCGAGCAGCCCAGCGGGGTCTAGCCCCAGGCGAGGCGGGGTCTAGCAGGCGAGCGGGGTCCAGCCCAGGCGAGCGGAGTCCAGCCCAGGCGAGCGGGGTCTAGCCCAGGCGAGCGGGGTCTAGCCCAGGCGAGCGGGGTCCAGCCCAGGCGAGCGGAGTCCAGTCTAGCCCAGGCGAGCGGGGTCTAGCCCAGGCGAGCGGGGTCCAGCCCAGGCGAGCGGGGTCCAGCCCAGCGAGCGGTCTCCAGCGAGAGCGGAGTCTAGCGGGGTCTAGCCCAGGCGAGCGGGGTCTAGCCCAGGCGAGCGGAGTCCAGCGCAGGCGAGCGGAGTCCAGCGCAGGCGAGCGGGGTCCAGCCCAGGCGAGCGGGGTCTAGCCCAGGCGAGCGGGGTCTAGCCCAGGCGAGCGGAGTCCAGCGCAGGCGAGCGGAGTCCAGCGCAGGCGAGCGGGGTCCAGCCCAGGCGAGCGGGGTCTAGCCCAGGCGAGCGGGGTCTAGCCCAGGCGAGCGGAGTCCAGCGCAGGCGAGCGGAGTCCAGCGCAGGCGAGCGGGGTCCAGCCCAGGCTTTTGGTCTCTGCGCGGATTTCTCAGGTCGGAGCCGGGTCCCCCTGGCGGCGCTTCTCGCGCCGCCCAGGGCCCAGCGCCGATCACAGAAGCACGCGCGGAGCTCCGAGAGCTCACGCGTATGCCATCACGTGTTCTTTGAGGAGGACCTCGAGGAGGAGGAGGAGGAGGAGGAGGAGGAGGAGGAGGGCCTCGAGGACGAGGAGGAGGAGGAGGACGACGAGGAGGGTCTCCTGAAGTCATGTCCCCCTCCTCTGCCCGCGGGCGGGCGGGCCCGCAGGCAGGGGCTGGTGCACGCCAGATCGCAGCTGGAGGCGCCCGGCCGCGGGGCGGGGCTGCGACTGCCCGGCCCCACGGCGGGAGGAGGGAGAGCAGAAGGAGTGTTCCGCTTCCCGATCCTCCTCCTCCTCCTCCTCCTCCTGATCCTCCTCCTCCCTCCTCCTCCTCCTCCTCCTCCTCCTCCTCCTTCTCCTCCTCCTCCTCCTCCTCCCCCTCCTCCTCCTCCTCCTTCTCCTCCTCTTTCTCTCCGGGGATATGCACGACACCAGGTTCTTTCGAAGCATGTCAAGATAGAGTTCTCAGCCACGTGAGAGGCCAAGTGTCTTTTAAGATCGATATCCTCTTGGATATCTGAGTGCGCGCACTTCCTGACCATGATCTTCACCAGCGCAATCGCGTCACCGCCGCCATCGACATTGCCAATCGCCACCATTGCCGCCGTCACCAGCATCGTCGCCGTCATTGGCATTGCCGTCGTCATCGTCATCATCGCCACCACCTTCGTTCCTATAAGCATCGTTGTCGCCGACGTCGACGTCATCAAATTGAATACCGTGCTGGCCCGAGTCACCGACCCGCACTGAAGTGCCCTCGCGCCAGCGCGGCCTTCGTAACGCGTCGAGAAGTTCCCACTAGAAAGCGCCATCGCGGCCGCACCAGCTGTGACAAACCATGTGGTCGCCCTGCGCGGTCGCATGGGTTTCGCCAAACGCAAGTTGCGGGTGGGGGGGTGATGATTTATGAGCTGACACACATTCATTGCGCCTCGTGGGTTGCGCCCGACGTCTTGCGCCACAAAGATTTTACCGCTGAGCGCGTAAAAGCATAACAGTCTTGTTCGCAGCCAGTAGCTAGAGCCCCCCTCCCTAGGCTGGACGTATCCGCACCCATGCGCGCATTTCGAGGCACAAAGTAATCGTCGTTCATGCGAGATTTCAAATACTAGCATATCAACCTGGCCAACATCGCCCCCCATTTTCTGCAAATTCTGCCTGGGGCGCGCGTGGGCTGATATGAACAAGCTTGTTTGCGAGCGCCCGATGGCTACACAGGCATTGCGGGGCACATGCGCGCGCCGCCGTGGGAACGTCCAAATCCGTCAACACTGTTCCCCAATTGGGCTTGCCTTAGGGGCTCTCACCTGGTTAAGAAGAATGGTGCCTCGGGGGGCACGTCGCCCGTTCCCTGGAGATTCCTCGGGTTCCTCGAGCTCCCCGCCCCCGGTGCCTCCGATTTTGCGTTGCCCAATTCCCGGAGGCTCTTCGGGTTCTCCGGGTTCTTCGGGTTCCCCGCCCCCAGTGCCTCGTGATGTTGAGGTGCCATTTCATCGGAGGTTCTCGGGGGGGGTCCCGAGGTTCTTCGGGTTCCTGAGCGGCGACCTGCGCCGGCTCACGCAGTAATCCGCTTGCAGCGCCACTCGCCAATTAGGCTTGCCTGCGGGGGTTCATATTTGGTTAGAAATTGGTGTCTAGGAGTGTTTCTTTGCCCGTTGTTCGGAGGTTCTCCGGGTTCCTCGGATTCCCCGTGTTCCTCGCCCTCGGTGCCTCGGGGGGATATTTTGCCCGTTGCTCGGAGGTTTTCCGGGTTCCTCGGGTTCCCCAGGCCCCTCGCCCTCGGCGCTTCCGATTCCGTTGCCCGCTCCTCGGAAGAACCCCGGGTTCCTCGGGTCCCTTGGGATTTTTGCCCCCGGCCCAGTGTATTGTTACGTTGCCCGTTCCTCGGAGGTTGCTCGCGTTCCACGCCGCCGCCACACCAGACTTGAACGTGTCACGCTTGTTTAGTTGAGTGCTTGGAGCTATGTGGCAGCGCTGCGAAGCCTGTGGGTCGACTGACAGCTTGTTGACGTAGTTCGCGGGTCGCCTGTGAGGCTTAATATGCGATCGCACCCGCATGCGTTTCCGCTTGCAGCTAGCACGACTTGCAGCTAGCATACTGATTCCGGAACTGACATGATGCGTCGTTTTCCACCAGTGGATGCATGTGGAATATTTGCCCAGCCCATGGTTAGATGATATCGTCGTCGTCCTCTCATCATACTTTCTGCCGCCGTCTGCCTCATTGCACGTTTTTACCGTGGCGCGGGTTCACTTCCGCTCGCAAGCTCGTTAGTGCCACGTCTTCGCCGTCGCGCGAATTTGCATTTCGGCCAGCACGTCAGTTTGCACCGTGTCACGGGTTCACTGATGCTCGCCCATGGCCAGAGGAATATCCGTATCTCGCGTACATTGATACAGAACGTAAACTCATGCCACACCATCACACTCAGACGTGCCACGCGTTCGCTCACGCTCACACATGAGCTGCAGGATGTGCTGTTGTCACGCCCTCGCTTACGCATGCACATGAAATCGTGCCACCACGTCGGATCTGGCCGCGCCATGCAAACTGACGAATGCGTTCGCTAATGCGCGGCCGTTGAGGGGTGCGCGAGGCCCGTTTCCTTCGATCTCATCCCTCCTCTCACCCTTCATTCTCTCTTCAGCTCGCCCTTGCCCTTCAAGCGCCGCTGCGACCATATCCGAAAGCATGCGCCCGCAGCCGTTTCCGACTCAAGCGATCAGAGCAGACGTTCCTGCCTACGCGCGTCGCACTTGCGGTGCCACGCGACGCCGCGAGCGCCGCGCGGCCTTTCGAGGCGAGCAGCGCCGCGCAGCCCGCAGGCCGCGCCATGGGTCCATCGTCTCATGTGGTTGCTCAAAGCAAAGCGACCAATTTGGAGCTCGGGAGGCTGCGGCGTGCAACTTGGAAGGGCGAACTCGTAAGTGCGCGTGCGACTGCGTGCCCCGCGTCTCTGACAGTTCTCGGCGTTTGCCTGTCTCCGCGCGAGATCCGACGCGGCGCATCTTGCCAGACAGCCACGGGGGGGGGGGGCGAGCTAGAAGGTCGCGAACCATCTAAACTCCAAGTTCAAGCAGAGTCTGGCGAAGAAGCCCGGATTCGTTGCGAACGTCAAAAAAAAAGTACAACAGTGCTCCTGAGATGGAGGTCGCGAGCACGCTGCACGCGAAATGCCACCCGCTTCTGAACTGCGCCGCGGTCCCCCGCGCGCCAGAGCCCAGCGTGACTCCGGCCTTTTTAATGACGATCGATCGGGGGCAACTCTTCGATGCGACGGGCATTGCGCGCGCAGTTTCAATCGCGGCGTCAGGAGGCGCAACTCCGGCGGCGCGCAACGGTCACGGTGCACGCGCACCATGGTGGATGGCATTGAAATCAAGGGCGCACCGCCGCGCGTCACGAACATCGCTGTCTTCGCGGATAGGAGCGGCGCGACGAACCTCGCCATGCTCCGACACTCGGGAAACGCGCGCGATGGGAAGCACGCCCTGACGTTCGTCGGCATCCAGGGCAAGAAATCCAGCGACGCGGACGAAAGTAATGGTTTTTTCGCGCCCAGTTTCAGCATCCGCGCAGAAGAGTCGGCGCTCGTGCTCGCCAAGCAAATGCGATGTCAGTATCATGGGCCACAGGGGCAGAATTCGGATTCCATGGAGGGCACGGAAACAACGCGCGCACGATTGGCCAGCATCGCAGGCCGCGCGCAAGCCCAGGCCATCGAAAGCGAGAGCACGCGCTGGCAGATCAATCGGCGCCGCGTCCATCCGCCGGAGAAAGGGGCGGACATCGCAGCCAAAGAAGGTCAGCGCTTGTGGATGCGCGCGAAAGTGGAGGGCGACGCCGGATCCGAGCAGCTCCGCGCGCGGGAGACAGCTGCTTGGGCGCTGGCCGCGCTGGAGCATAAAGATTGTTTCGAGAGCACCCGCTCGCAGGATCAGCTGAACTTCCCCTCGAAGGCGCCCGCGGAGATCCCCCGCAAATCGTCGGGTTTCCAAAAGCCCGCTGGAGCTGGCGATTCAATTCCCGGCGACGGGCCCCCGCGCGCGTCGCCGCCGCAGCCGAGCAGGAGTTGGAAGACGCGCCATATAGGAGTTAATCAGCGCTGCTGCCCACGTTGGAGCGCGCGAAACAAGACGCGGATTCACGCGCCCCCGCCCTGTCACACGTGGCCAGCAGAGCGCGGCGCGGCGCCGCGACCTCGGCGCCCGCGACGCGAAGTCTGAGCAGGAGGCATCGGATCGCCGCAGAGAGCGCGCAGGATCCATTCAAATAACTTTTCGCGCGCGCATTGGCAACATTTTGCGCGTCGACATCGGCGCCGGGCCACCTCTTGGAACCCGCGCGAGGTCCCCGCGCGCAGCTGGCACTCGCAACTGTCGCGGGCGCGCCCGTCAGGACAGCGCTGAAAGGCCCCCCGTATTCTTGGCTACGTCCGTCGACGAGATTCCGCAGATACGCCCGCTGCGGCCCCGGGGCACGCGAGCCGCGCGCTGCTTGTCGCAGCCGCGGCTGCGCGAACGCAAGGCCGCTGCGACGGAGCGCCTCGAAGCGACAAGCGAAGTCCAGCCGACGCATCTAAACGCAGGAGACTGAGAACGTCGCCCGAGGGTGACGCGCTTAACTGCGACGCGTCTAGGTCGTTCGCGAGCCAGGACTTGGCGGCGCGAAGGCGCCGCGCGCGGCGCGCGGGGGCGCCGCGCGACCTCCCTCGGCGGCCGAGCCCGCCATGCGTTGCACAATGCGCCAGCCTAGGAGGTGGCGCGTCGGCCTAGAAGCAGCGCCGCCAGGCGTTGAAGATACTCTGGTGGGGCGCACAGCAGGAAAGCACAAACATAGCATCAGATTCGCTTGGTTTGGTTTGGTCCCGCCGGCGCCGTGGATTTTGCTGCTCGAGACGCCCTCTGGGCGCGACGTTTCAGCGCGTCGCGCGTGCGCTCGCCTTCTCTGCCGGCCCTGCTTGGGGCCTGGAGGTTATATGCATTTTTTTTGTTCCCGGCCACATCTGCGAGATCGCGCGTGGATTCGCCCGCAGCTGAGGTTTGCGCCCGTCGCCTCTGCCGGCCCCGTTCGGATTCAGACATCGGGGAAGGCATCAGTCAGCGCGGAAAATAACACACAGATGACAAACAGACGCAGAGCGCATTTTGGATGGTCCCGAACCCAACGTTCGAGGTCCACACTGGCAAATCTTATATATATATATATATATATATACACACGGATGGTTCTAGAGCCCTTGTGTCTGGCAGCTGCAAATCGCATGCGTGGTTAGTGGTGGGAGGGTTTGTTGGTTTCGTTGGCATGCTCCGTCTGCGTCGAGGATGACAGGCAGACGAAAGCCAGGCCGACCTACGGTGGGGGCGTCTGTTAAGGGATAGTCCCAGGAGGCGCTGGACCCTGGAGGATTCCTGATCCAATGAGGGCGACGGTGATGTCCATGGCCGATCCACGATTGGAGTTCCACGGGCTTCCAGACCTTGGATTCCTTATATCAGGGTTCCTTATCCAATGCCCCCACCGTCCGTGGCCATTTTGGCTCAAGTCTTTCTGATTCAAGCCACGCGCCGCACCGTCCGACGGCCGCCCGCCCGAGGCCGCTGATGTCCGGGGCACCCCAGCGCCTGGCGCTGGCGAGTGCGTCGGCGGCCGCCCGCGGGGCGCGCCTCGCCGCGCACGGCGCGGCGGGCCTCTCCCGCTCCAGCTCCGCAGCCGCGCGCCGCCTGCTGCGGCGCGCGGGGGGCGCGGCCCGCGCCGCCGTCGCCGAGTTGCAAGCGCTGTCCGGGCGGCCTGCGCAGGCGACCGGACCCCTGGACCCCGTGGGGAGGCCTCCGCGGCAGATGCGCCAGGCCCCGCCGCTGGCGAGCCACCCCGCGGCGCTCCAGCGCCGTCGCCGCCGCGGCCTGGAAGTCAGGCCCGCGGACGCTGCCGCGGCGCCCATGGAGGTGGAAAGAGTCGAGAAGGAGGCGGACGTGGTGGACTCCAGCGATAGCTTCGACGACGAGTGGGCGGATCGCGCGCCCGCGGTGCGCTCGGCCGCGCTGCCCAGCACTGCGGCGACCCCCAGTCGCGGGACCCTTGCGGGGGGCGCGGCGGGAGTGGCCGCGGTGGCGCAGGGCGCCGTGGCGACGGCGACCGCGGGCCCCCGCTCTGGGGGCGTCGTCCGCGGGCCACGGCACCCCGAGGCCCCTGCCGTCGCGGAGGCCGAGGGGCGAGCGGAACTGGTTGCGGCGCTCCGCCTCGCGCCCCGACCCAGGCGCCCGACGGCGGCGACCTCCCGACCCAGGTGCTCTGCGACCTGCTCGGGCGGCCGGCGCGGGCGCAGGCTACGCTGCAGGGCCGCGTTGTTCGTGGAGTTCGTCGCGCCCCCCCCCCTTGGGGCGGTCCCGGGGTGCGCCGCGGACGCGCACTTGCGCTGTTGAGTCGGCGCTGCGGACTCGGGCCACGCGCCGCAGGGCGCCGTCCGACGGCCGCCCGCCCGAGGCCGCCGATGTCCGGGGCGCCCCAGCGCCGGGCGCTGGCGAATGCGTTGGCGGCCCCCCGCAGGGCGTGCCTCGCCGCGCGCGGCGCGACGGGCCTCTCTCGCTCCAGCTCCGCGGCCGCGCTCCGCCGGCTGCGGCGCGCGGAGGGCGCGGTCCGCGCCGCCGTCGCCGACTTGCAGGCGCTGTCCGGGCGGCCTGCAAGGCGACCAGACTCCCGGCCCCCCATGGGGAGGCCTCCGCTGCGCCCCCGCGCCCTGGCGCCGTCGCCGCCGCGGCTGGAAGGCCAGGCCCGCGGACGCTGCCGAGGCCCCCATGGAGGTGGAAGGAGTCGAGAACGAGGCGGACGCGGAGGACTCCAGCGATAGCTTCGACGACGAGTGGGCGGATCGCGCGCCCGTGGTGCGCTCGGCCGCGCTGCCCAGCATTGCGGCGGCCCCCAGTCGCGAGACCCCTGCGGGGGGCGCGGCGGGAGTGGCGGCGGCGGCGCCGGGCGCCGTGGCGACGGCGACCGCGGGCCCCCGCTCTGGGCTGATGGGGGCGTCGTCCGCGGGCCATTCCGAGGCCCCTGCCGTCGCGGAGGCCGAGGGGCGAGCGGAACTGGTTGCGGCGCTCCGCCTCGCGTCGCCCCGCCCCCCGATCCAGGCGCCCGACGGCGGCGACCTCCCGATCCAGGTGCTCCGCGACCTGTTCGGGCGGCCGGCGCGGGCGCGGGCGCGGGCTGCGCGGAGTGACTGGGTGCGTAGGGCCGCGTTGCTCTGTGGTGCGCCGCGGGCGCGTGTGCTCGCGAAGTAAAGTCGGCGCTGCGTTTGAAATTTATTGCTCGCACGGGTTTCGGCCCTCGCGGAGAGGGTGAATGTCCCCGCCGTAATCCCGCGGCTGGAAGTGACCGTGCGCTTGCACGAGTACACGTACGAGTCAAACAGCCGATTTCGACATCACCCTCAGCATCCACTCTGCCGAAACATCTCCAAACTTGGCGTCGTGAGACCTGTGCGGTTATCTTGTGTGCGCCTATGAGTCTAGCGTGGAGATGGCCGTTGGTTTTGCCGGCAACTCGAGACGACATTTTTCTGAACCTCCATGTTGGCCAAGTCCGTTCGGCACGGTTGTTAATACGACAGACAACACGTTCCGATGCGTGCCCTCGCGGCAATCGTATAGTTGTTCTTGTCCGCGCGGACCGAGCATATGCACGTAACATAGCGTGTTCCATAGTATGGTGCGCCACTTTGCAGGAGGATTTTCACACCAGCATCCTGAAGGTGCGCTCACAAAATAGTATCCATCTGTCCGCGGGATGACCCGCCACCACGCCAGCGCGGCAACGAAGCAAGAATAACGTTAGCTATCAGAGTGCACGGCCAATCCCAGCTCAGCGCCTTGCCTGATTTTACGCAAGTATTGGACGCCCCCTGCTCCGCAGCTTCGCTCTCAGTTTCCTTACTACTACTCCTGCTCAAGGTGCTTCTTTGGAGCATCTGTGGCCCTTTGAGGTCTGTTCGAGGCCCGTTGGGAGCCCGCGGGGGTCATCCATGTTTCCACGAAGCTCTCCCGACCAGGCTCGGCGGAGCCATCTTGGAGACGTTTGGGTGGGTCTGTGTGTTGTGCTGGCGCCCCCCTTGGGCTGTCCTGACAATGTTTTCGGGCAGTCTTGGGGCCGCCTGGTGGTTTCTTGAAGGCATTCGTGGGCCGGTCTTGAAGACTTATTGAGGCTCTCTGACGCTTTTACGAGGCGATCAATGTATGCAGTTTCTGAGGGCCCCGCATAAGACATCTTCTGAGCGTCGCTTGGAGGCGTGTTTGCTTTTTGGAGGCATCTAGGATTGATCTTGGAGCAACGTGGATATTGTTGGACCCTCCTTGTGCGGTATTGTTGCGTTTTGTCGCCGGTCGGGGGTTGGCGTTGGATTTGCTGGAGTAGGCTAGATGCCGAAGTATGGGCCGCCAGCAAAGCTGGTATAGGGGGGACGGTGAGGGTAGGAGGTGGGCGAGGGGGAGTTGGGGAGCCCCGCTTTTTTTTATCGGGGGAGGCGGGGAGGCATCGGTTTTGGAAAATGAGAACATGTACCAGGCATCCAGCACGTATTCTTGAACGCCTCAACCTGCATCAGAGACTGTGGCGGATTGAACATGACAATCATTCATCAACGCCGCAACTTGCCTCCCCACAGTGCAGCCAATGAAGCACATGACCGCACGCAAGCACGCACGCGAACAATCACGCCATCTAGTACAGGCGCTCGACGGTGGCGTGTTCAACGAACAATTTGCGTACGGCTGTATGAAACGGAGGCGAGAAACCAGCAGGCAAGTATATGAAACGGAGGAGAGCAGCTGGCAGGCAAAAACGCAGGGAGTCACGCACAGTCAAGCAAACAAATCAGTACACACACACACATATATATATATATATATATATTAGCAGGAAGGCAAGCAGGCAGGCAGTCACGCAAGCACTGGAGCACAAGGGCTCTCGTGAGCACGCACGCGAACAATCATGCAATCGAGCACAGACGCGCACAGACATATAGAAACATGAACACGCAACGACGCCAGTCATCATCTTACATCGCCGTCGGCTGTTCGACAATCGCGTCCTCCCAGTCACCGTTTCTGTAGCCACCGTTGTTGTCATCATCATCTTCATTCCAAGCACGCCCGCGCGCTTCTGGTCTTCTGGTCTGATCTGAGTGGTGGGTGCCCATTCTTTCACTTGCATGTCCAAGCATGCTGCTGCGGCGCAAAAAGCAGTACGAGGGCGCAGAACGACGACAATGACAATGTCGGCGGCGACGATGGCGACGTCGAGAGAGAAGGTCGACGACGGCGGCGGCGGCGAGGGGGCAGCTCCACCTTCAGCCTCCGTAGTGCCAGTCCCGGACGTATACAAGCAGGACTTTCCGTCCTCTCTCGGGGGGGGCAGGGCGGGACAGCGCTCCAGGCGGCGACCGATGTATTCTTCTGCCTTCCTCGGTGTTGTAACCTCAGTGTTCGTTGCCTGCTTTGATTCGCGCGATGCCGAGAGACGTGGCTACGGCGACCTTGGGCCCCAAAGGAATGTTTTGTATTTGAGGAAGGTTGGGGCCCTGGGTACCGGTAACGCAGGGGCGAGGTGGGGCACGTCGGGGCGGGGATGCATTGCGACCGCAATAGTTTGCGCGCGAGCACCAGCATGTGATGGGGGTCTAGCCCTCCCTCGGTATCGTTTAACTAATCCCCATCCCCATCCCCATCCCCTTCGAGACCCCCACCATCTCACCACCCCAATTGGGGATACACCCCTCGAAACCCGAAGGGAACGGCCTGTATCCCCATCTAGGGGAGATAAATCGGCCAGTGGGGCCCAGGACACGCAGCTGGGGATGGGGATCGGTTGAACGATACTTACCCCCCCCCCACACCCTCCACGTACGATCGTGAGCACCAGCATGGGGGGAGTCCAGGCCAAACCCCCCCTCTGCTTACGATCGCCAATGTTACCTGGAAGGGGGGGGGCGGAGAAAGACCCGTTGCGCGCCAGAGGCTGAAACAGAACAGTTCGAAAGGTCGTTTGGTAAATTCTCTGATTCATTGTTTTGCCGATCGGCGCGGGCCCTCGCACCCCCCCTCCCCCCCCTCCTTGGAGTGGGTCTTGGCTGCTTTGGGCGCCTGTTCGAAGAGGTGGAGCCTCCCCCCATGGGACGCACCGTCGCAAAGAGTAGCACTCAGCAGAGGTCCGGAGCCAGACCCCCCCTCCCTCCCCCCCTTCTTCCGCCCGATGTCGAAGCGCCGAATAAAAGAGCGCTCACTCTGCCATTCCAAGCAAAGTTTCGCGGGGTCTCGAGCAGAGGAGTCCCCGCAGGGGGGGGGGAGAGGGAGCCCGACGGCGCACCCCTTCCCAGCTGCGGGCTTCGCCCGAGACGTCCCCCCCGTTCATGACGGAACCGCGGTCGCGCCTCCACGGAGGTGGCCGTGTTCGTCCGGCCGGCCACGAACCCTCGTGAGCCAAACACACATCTTCGCCGCGCTCCCACCCCTGTCCTCGACCCGCCTCCTCGCCCATGCTGCTGTGAGGGGCCTCTGCTCGGGCAGCTCTTGGGCCCGCGCTGTCGAAGAAGGCTTAAGAGCGTGCGCCATGAACATAAACTTTTGGCGCTCCGCGCGGACTTCTTGGATCCGCGCTGGGCCCCCCTGGCGGCACTTCCAGGCGCCGCCCCATGGCGCGCTCCGCGCGCCAGGGAGAGGGGGGGCCCAGCGCAGATCCACGAAACCCGCGCGGAGCGCCCAACGTTTATATGCTTCTGGCGTTGTTTTTGTTCTCCATTGCCTTTTAGCCTTAAGTCGGGCATGTCCCTCTACAGGAGGAATATCCAAACATATGTTTCAAAAAAAATAATAAGAAAAACAGCCTCGGGACGGTTTTTCGGCTACCTCTGACCATATGGGAGAATCTCTTATTAATCTCAGTCTTTCGTCTAAAATCAGGGGGACACGCCCGACCGCATTTTAGCTTTTCTGGCCCAGCCTTTGGCCGCATGGGGCCATGGCCGCAGAGGGCGGGCGGGCGCCCCTGCTGCCCGCCGAGGCGCGCCCCTGCGCCCCGCGGCGGCCCCGCGCGCCCGCGCCGCCTGGAGGGCGGTGCCACCGAGCGCGGACGACGCCCGAGCCGAGCGCCGGCACCGCTCCGGGCCGGGCCCCATCCCTCAAGGGCAGCGATAGGGGGGGGGATAGGCACAGGGGGGACGCATCGACCCCCCATCGCCCACTGATCGCCGATAGGGGCCCGATAGCTCCACCCCGCCCAGGAAGGTGCGGATTCACGATCGGGGGCCTATCGCCGTTCTATTGGCGATGTATCGCCGATTCCAGGTCGATGCATCCCCCCCTATGCCAGTCCCCCCCTATCGTTGCCCCTCAATCCCAGGCCCGCAGGTCCTGCGTTGGTTGATTTGGGTGACCCAAAATGGGGTCCAGCTGCAAGGGGGTGGTGCAATAGACTTGGGGCAGTTGCATTGCAGATGCAAGCTGCGTCGGATAATTGTATGGCATTGTAGTGCAAGTGATGTATTGCACGCGAAAGTCCAGTAGTAGATGTGCGACCCGGAATGTATTGCACGCCCCAGATGTATTGCAACCCCAAAACCTATTGCGCCACCCCTTTGTCGCTGGACCCTCTTTAGGGTCAACCCGAGAGGCGACATTGTAGGGTTCTAGGAACATTTCGTGGTAGGGCTATAGGAATGCCGGGACGGTCGGTCCTTACTCAAATCCCAGGCCCGCAGGTCCGTCGTTGGTCAAGGAATGTGCCCATGAGGTTTCAGGCTTTGGGGGATGTCTTTTCTGAGGAGGGCGGCGGTGACATCCATGGCCAGTCCACCATGGGAGTTCCAATGGCTTGCAGACTCTGGATTTCTTATCCCACGGTTCCTTATCCGACGCTCTCGCCTCATAGACCCGCACCGATCCTGGCCAGGCCCATCGCGGGCCCAGGACGGACCTGGCCAGGGATCGGTGTACGTGCATAGCTGGCAAGGGATCGGTGTACGTCGACTACAACTACCCATCGGTCGTTGACAGTAGGTATTTCTGGAGTCCCAGATTCCAATCTACTTTTTCAGTGTCTCTTCCTATTGCAATGTGGCTTCACGGCTTCCGTCCTCTCTAGGGGCGGGCGGAACCCAATGTACGTTCAACGCCTTCCTACTTCATGTTTCTACCTGCTTCTTGCGACCGATGGGTGACCTTTCGCTGGAGTGACCTTTGGTGCAGGCCCACGGGGGTCCCCCGATCGCCAATCGCGAGGCGTCAGTAGCGTCTTTGCGCACTTGTAGTTGGCTCCCGCGCGGCCCCAAAACAGCCGCACATCAAAGGTCGCTCTTACACAGGGTCATTCTTGCGTGTAGCCGAGGTGGCCCAAATGGGGGGTGAAGAGCAGGTTCCTAAAGGGGCCCTTCAGGGCCCCTTTAGGACCATCTCAGGCCCGCAGGTCGGCGCGCAAAGGGGGGCGGGTCCGGTGTGTGTGTGTGTGAGTGTGTGTGTGAGTGAGTGTGTGTGTGTGTGTGAGTTCGATTGACTTTTGCACCGAGCCGCCGGCGCCTCCCGATAGTTACCGATATGCGGGGTATGCGGGGGGTATCTGTTTGCGGCAGTTCGGTGCACCAGCGGATCGAATTCGTGCCCCCCCTCAGGGTCACCCCCCCTTTGGTGGATCCCGATGATGGGGTAGCCCAAATAGGGAGTGAAGAAAAGGTCCCTAAAGAGGCCCTATAGGGCCCCTATTGGGCTGGCTTCAAGAGGGGCCCTTCAGGGCCCCTTCAGGGCCCTTTCCTTTTCCCCCTATGTGGGCCAACCCCCAATAGCACCCGCCCTAACAGGCCCGGGACTCGAGGAACAAAGCATGGCACAAACATACATTGTCGGAGCTCCGCGCTGATTTCTTGGATCGGCGCTGGGAACGCGCCAGGGGCGGCGCCAGAGGCGCCGCCAGAGGCGCCGCCAGGGGGGCCCAGCGCCGATCCAAGAAGTCTGCGCGGGCCTCCGAACGTCGATGTTCATGTCATTCTTTGCTCCCCGAGTCTCAGGCTGGCGGCAGTGAGGGTCGGTGCGGCGTAAGATTCTTGGGGGGGGGGGGCGTGGCGTCACTTCACTGGGGCCCCCCCACCCTTTGCCCCCAGCCTCCCCGCAACAGTGACCGAGCGTACGCGGCGGGGTGCCCGTTCCCTCGCAAACAGGGCGCGGTGTTCACAAACTCAGGAGAGAAGAACACGCACAGACACAATTCATCGTCGATTCGCCAGAAAATATGGGAAAATATGGGAAGTGGGGGGGGGGAGACAAAAACACAGAAAATGTATGGAAAAATAAGGAATCCTGTTACTTGTGTGTATTTATGTGTGTGTCCCAGGGCCCCTTCACAACCATGGCATGGTGTTGGCAGGCGTGCTTTGGTGTTGGCAGGGATGTGTTGGTGCTCTCAGGCATGCTGTGGCGCTGGCACCCCTCGTGGGCCTTAACGGGCCCTCTAGGGCCGACTCGGTTTCTGAGCGATCGTCCATTATTGTTGTTGGTGGACGTTCGTTCTCCTGCTCTCAGTAAATATGGATATCTTACTATATGTTTTGTTATTTTCTCTTCCTGAGCGTCGAAAGCGCGATTTCTGAAGAAATCGCGTGGAAGTCTCAGGCGAGAGCGCAATTCCTGAATAAATTGTGAAGGGTTCTGTGGCGGGAGCGGGGGTCTTGATTAAGTAGCGAGGAAGTCTTGATTCAATTGCGAGGAAGTCTCAAGCGGGAGCGCCGTTCCTGAGTAAATCGTGAGGAAGTCTCAGATGGGAGCGGGGGTCTTGATTAAATTGCGAGGAAGCCAAAGGCGGGAGTACCGATCCTGAGTTAATTGTAAGGAAGTCTCAGGAACGGGAGTCCTGTGTAAATTTGGAAGTCTCAGACGGGAGCCGTTGTTGTTGTAATCCAGGGGGCCAGGGGCCCAGTTTGAGCACCAAGACTTTCCCTGTCAAAACACAGGGTGCGAGCGTCGAAGGGCACACTTTGATTGAGAAAAACAGCATGCACCGGTCAGGGGGGATCAACAATAATAATTCTTCAGAAATGAGAGTTCAACAACAACAACAGCAGCAGCAACAACAACACAAGACGTACACCTTTCCATTTCATCCTCTGCGCGTGCGCGTGGAGGGTGTGAGGGTCACCGCTTGCTCCCTCCCATTGTTCACTGTGTGTTGCGAGTGCGTGGGAAGTGTGTGTGTGTGTGTGTGAGAGAGAAAGCGAGAGAGAGAGAGAGAGAGAGAGAGACAGAGGAACCGGGGCGCGAGGCAGCGGGAGAACGTGGAGACCGGGCGATTCCAATTGGGTAACCAAGAGCGACGACCTTTACAAATTACATGCGGGGGAAGACTCGGGCCACCCAGACGCTAATTACTCAGGAATTGCACTGGTCACAGCAAGTGGCTATCACAGGCCGGCTCCTCGAGTTTTCGCAAGACATGCTCACCTTCCGCCCCGAAAGCGCGCGGTCGAGGTTGGATCGGATCTAAGTCAACCGTCACACTTCGGGTTGATCCAAAAGGGGGTCCAGCGACAAGGGGGTGGTACAATAGATTTGGTGCAATAGATTTGTCGGGTTGCAATAAGTTTGGGGTGTGCAAAACATTCCGGGGCGCAGATGAATCGCTGGATTCTTTTCGCGCGCAATGCATTTCGCCACATTTGCAACACAATTGCCCCAAATTTATTGCACCACCTCCTTTGAGCTGGACGCCCTTTTGGGTCGACCAAAACACTGCAGATTATTAGTTGCGGTTCGATGGGGTGGCGGCGGCTCTGTCGTGGCCACTGTTGGACGGCGCATGGCGCCGCAGCCTTTGACCACAGGCCAGTGTCGTGCGGGCACCTGTGCTCCGAGATCACCACGGACACGTCGTGGCGCCAGCATCGCATAGCGAATCTCGTCCGGAAAACAATAGGATGGGCCTGGAGCGTCTTGGAGAATGTCGCTCCGGATTTCGAAAAGAATGTCGTGCGGATTTTTGCTAGTGCCAGGAACGAAGACTAAACAAACATCCACGTGGAATTCGCTTCGTGTTCCGCTCGCCGTCTCGGGGTTTTGCACTGACCGGAATCCATGCAAAGATTTGCTGCAGCACGTCTGCAAGGTCGGCGCAGTGATACACGCCATCCAGAGTTAAGTCGGGCCTGTCCCTCTACGGGGGGAAGATTGAAAATAGTCAAAACATAATATGGGGACGATTTGTTTGGCATGTGTTGACTATTTTTGGGTATGTTTTGAGTATGTTTCATTTTTCGTCCAAAATCCGCCTGTAGGATTATGATGTTCCAACCTACTTTAGCCTTGATCGCGATAAAGAATTTCGAGCACCAAAAAAGCACCGAAACTCGAGAGTTTTCACGTGTCGGGCACCGGGAGACACTCGCCCGACACCGTTTCGGCACTCTTTCGACACTTTTCCGGTGCTCGAAATTGTTTCTGGGATGTGGTCCGTGAGTACGATGGGAGCAACAGAAGTTTCGCCATCAGTTGGTTGAAGTCGGGCACGTCCCTCTGCAGGAGGAATACTCGCAAAACTAGTCAACACAAATTCTCTGGGGACGATTTTGTTGGGGGTATGTCTGGCTATGTTTTAGGTAGGTGTTGTTGAGGTATTCTTGATGTTTCGTCCAAAATCCCCCTGGAGCAGGACATGCCCGAGCCCAGGACGGGTGGATCACCCTGGGAGCTGGCCGCCCAGAGCGCCGCAGCAACCGCCCCTCTTGCACTGAAGAAGTGGGGGCCCCTTCACGCTCGGCCGATTTTCGGAGAACAACCTCCTCCTCCTCCTCCTCCTCCTCCTCCTCCTCGTGTGCTGGCTGCTGGGCCCCCCTTGCAACCTAAAATTACAGGGGGGCATGCCCGAACCTAAACCCGGACTCTGCTCGCCGTGCTGCACGAGCCTGCCGCGAGGCCCCGCGGAGGGCGCCCCGGCGCGGAAGGGGCGCGAGGCGGGCCCAGTCCACGGGCGTCGGTGAAGCAAGGGCGCCCTCGAGGGCGCTACGCTGCGGAGGGCGTCGTCGAGGGCGCGAAGTTATTCGCGCTTCGCGGTTCGGCTCCGACTCCTCCTCACCCTCCTCTTCTCCTCT